ACAAATATAACGAAAAATTCTCTTTACATATGTGTGTCTGTCCATATAGCGTATATGTATATAAACGTTGTTATAAACATATATTTTTGTCACCTCCAAAATGTTATTATTGTAAACAAATGATGAAAAATAATAAGAAAAGTCGAGATATTAAGTAGATTTGAACTGTACATGCGTCATTTTCGATAGAAACGAATATTTATTCGCGAACTTTTTCTTTTTCTTTAGTAAGAATTACGTCTCGCGTGACTGGAAACACATCTCCTCGTGGAACACAATCGGTGATAGTACAAGGAACATCATATCAACGATGCCACAAAGAAACGAGCATTGGATAATGAGATTTTTTGGAATGAAAAGTAACATTGCAGAATGTAAATTATGTGACTATAAGACAACATTATTTGAATCCGTAGAAGATATGCGCCTTCATTTAACTCATATACATAACCCTGCCTGGATAGAATCTATGAGCCAATTAACTATCCCCTGGCCTCATTTGATTTGGTATTACTTTTACATAAGCGATGATGGCAACGCAAAATGTTGTAAAGAAAATTGTCAAATAACGTATAATTCCAGTTTAAATAAGATAGAAAGAATGAAACTACATTTTGTAGATATCCATGTACCCCGACTTTCTGGCAGAATTTATGAGTGGACAGAACCATACTATAGAATAATTGAACAAAGTGAGCGATACCAACCATTAAAGAGAAAATGCGAAATACCTAATTGTAATTTTGTATATAACAGAAACATGGGCAGGACTGCATTATTATTTGGGCATTTGGTTCTTGACCATAATTTAATACCTGACCGATCAATAAGATTGTTCAATAATCCTTCTGGAAATTTATCTTTGCGCAATGATTAACGGTGATGCGGTAAATAGCAATAATTTTTATAATTGAGATAAAATATTATTTTTTATATATTTTCTCAATTATTTGCATGCATTTTTATCAACAATAAACAAATTATATTCAAATGTTGACACTTTCGTTATAACTACTATAAATATTTAAATCAGCTATTTGCATTCATTTATATTTTAAAAGCACTATAAATGTAAAATTAAATATTATTTTTACCTTTTATTTATTCACAATTACTGGCAGTGTTTACTGTTATTTAACAAACAATAAATAAAATTATACAGATGATCATCTAGATGATATTTTAGCTTCACTCTTATCTTTACATAAACAATATGTATTATCTATCCACCTTTGATAAGAAAAAGTGTCATTTTCACTAAATTATTTAGTTTTAGAACATGGTTTAAATCATTTGGCTTTGAGTTGTAGCACATAAAAATACTTAATTAGAAGAACTTAATCAATAAGCAATAAAATTATAACTGTGAATATATTTCTAATAAACATAGTTGTACATATATTTGATATTAAAGAGCCTTGAGTTAATTTTACTGTTTAATAAACATAAGTATGAATAATTTACATTGTTCTATAACTGTGTTTACATAAGCGGTCTTAAAATATTAGCCGTAAGTTATCTAGATGAATCGGCATGTAATATTATCTTGTATTAAAGTAATATTTAAATCAAAAACATTTCTTTATCTGATCTAAGATAAGCTTATATATTTCATTTCATCTCTATCTACTTATATAATTTTAAAGTTTTCTAAGCACAACAATGATTACTGCAAGCACTTTTATTTATGTAATAAAAGTGCTTGCAGTAAGCGCATGAAATTCAAATGTTAGCCCTTTATCATATAAAAATATATAAAATTATCTACGTCTAGCGCATACATTTATGTTTGATAGCATTAGAAGTTAATAAATATCAACTTTGTTTCGTTAATTTTAAATATGTCATCACAACATTCGATTTACACAATTAGCAAATATCATCATCAATTTGAAAATATATATTATTACATATATAAATATTAGGGTCTCTTTTGGATTCGGAAAATATTTAGAATTTGTCTAATATAAAACAACGCACATAATTAATGAGAAAAATTTTCTAATATTAATTATTCTGAATTTTTATTGATTTAATTTTTTATATAAATTTCAGAATGAAAAGTTCAACAACATGGACGCAGGTTTCGAAAGAAATGAGGCTAACGTATTATCATGGACATGGACAATAAATAAAATAAGAAATTCATATTTTTGACTTTATCGCTTTATCTTTATATTATATGGCGTAAATAATCTTATTTTATTTTTATTATATCTAATTATATTAAATAAACGGCGAAACTTATATTTTTTATTTATTTCGTAATTAAGCATTTTACATCAAGATCTTTATCTAGATACTTGTATTTATTAAATGTATTTTATAAAACATATTTAATTTATATAATATATAATTATATATAATATATAAATTATATATATAATCTATATATATATATATATATATATATATATATATATTCATAATTCTTTATATATATTATGTTTTATAACTTATAAAGTATAATTATATATCAATTTATATGTATATAAATATAATATATATAGAGTAATATAATGTTATAAATGTATAAAATTATCTGTAAATGCATATAATTATGTAACTGCAGAACTGCACTGAAAAAAATGTGTTAGCTTAACTAAATCTTTTAACTAAATGACTATTATTTTAATTAAATATATATATTAGTATTTAACTCAAATATATATATGTTTTGTCAGATGTAATATGTTATATTTAATTAAAAAATTTTTATACGTTGAATTAACAAATTATTTAGATGAAAAACTCAGTCAAGTTTACAATTTTTTTTCGCAGTGTGTCTCAAATTATCTGTAAACGCATATATTTTGTTAAATATTTTAAAATTAAGAATCGGCATACATTTAAAAATGTACTTTATCTAGATATCTATCATTTTTTAAATATATATTACATAACATGTAATTTTAACATATGTAATTTATATAGTGATTTCTATAACATGTATAATATTTTATATAAATATTATGTATATTATGTATATAATATTTTATATAATTTATAATTATCTATTTATAGAAATAATATTAACGAAATGTACTAAAAATCCTTGTACATATAATATAAGTTTCTTCCAAATAAAATATTAATTTTTGAACAAAAGTATATATTCTTATAAGTTGCTATATCTATAAAAATGTAAGATGAAACTAGAAAGTTGATATATCATAATTACATACATACATTCTTTATTGTGCTCCTAGTGAGAATTACAAGGCACTTGTATAAGGAGTGGTCCCGAACCTTTTACGAACAAAATTTATATTAATATCTTAGTCATAATTTACTAAATTCCTCTACAATCCTTGTTCTTCATTTCAATCTTTTCCTTGTCTTCTCCCTTTCTCTCTCTATCCATTTGGCTCCTACTTTTGTCCTTCTTTATCTTCTCCTTCCTATTTGTCCTAAACTTCCCTTCTCCCTCTCCTAATATGCTATTCTCTCTAAATCCCCCTTCTCCCTCTGTTTCCCTTTATCTTCACACTCCATTCCCTCTCTATCTTCTATCCTTTCTACTTATCCCCTACTAATTCCAGCTTCCCTACCTAATACTCTTTTTATCCCAACATCATGGACCATCCTCCTTATTTTCTTCCACAATTCCTTTTCACACCACGTTGTTCATTTCTCCTTTCTCTTCTCTTTTCCTTCTCTCTTCCTCCTTTCTTCTATTTCTTTCCGCTCTCTCTCTCTCTTTTCTTCTTCCTTTTCTCTTTTTTTTCTTTCTTCTCTCTTCTCTATTCTCCCCCAAATCTCTTCACAAATATCAATTATCTTTAAACAATAATTTAATGGTTAAATATCTAATTTAAATAAACCTTTAAATCGAATTTTGTTTACATCTATTGTAATATTTGAAATTCACAAACATTCTCTTAGCCACATAAATGGCACAATATATGACAATATATTAATATTTTAGGAAATAAATTATTATTTGTAAGATAATCATAGAGATAAATACAAATATGAGTTTTACTTACCGACTGTTTCAATATTTGCTTAAAACACATTTAATCTATTTTTTATATATAATGAAATTCATTTTGGTAGACGTACTCATTTAATTTCACTAATCTAGTTTGAAGATATCCGTGTGGTATAGCTTCGACATATTATAAACGTTGGAAAAAAGGTTTCTGATTTACATCGGCTATTAGTATTTTTCTATTCAATTTATCTTTATATATTGCATCTATTATTTAACAAATTGATAAGGTGCGAGTCTTAATATTTTCTTTTTGGAAAGCGAAAATTTTATTAAACATGACAAAATATTTGAGGTAAACGCATTTGCCGAGGCAATATTTTTTACGAAAACTCGCTCATTCAAACACATGAAATTTTCGACTGTAATAAAATATTATACAGGGTAAATCACCTAACAACGCATCTCTATCTTCTTTTTTCGTTCTCCAATTTTATGTCAATTGTTCTCCGTCTTGTTAGAAAAATATAGGATAAAGACGATATTAATGATTAAGTAAAGTTATATTTAATTAAATATAACATGTATGGTATATAGTGATAATATATATTGAATTGTTTTAATTCATTTTAGTGTTTTTAAGATTGATATGAATTTAAAGAAACGTATATTTAAAATTATTAGTCTAGAGCTCGGATTTCCACTCGAATTCTCGGGTCGCGTGCGCGCGCGCGAAGCTTCGCGAGATACTTAATATTTCTCGAGGAAACCCGATCGTTAATTCGGAAGCGATCGACAGGCGTCGAATCTCGAGACATCAGATTTTGGGATAATAAACGAACTTACAGTCACGATTGAGACGCGAAAGTGTACAAGAAATGTAAATACTGTCTTGTGCGCGATGACGAACGTTTGAAATTCTTCTTGCCTACGTTACAAAGATTTAATCGTGTAAAAATGTGTAAAATATAAAAAATACTTATTTACAATAAAAAATAAATAATATATTAAGAAAAAAATAAATACAATATATTTTTAATTTTTTAAATATATATATATTTTATTAATAATATAGATAATTAAACATTTAATGAAAAATTACATTTGAACAACCTAAAAAAGTGCTAATCTTGGGCTGTGGAAGATTCAGCGTTGGCCAAGCCAGAGAATTCGATTATTCGGGCTCTCATAGGCAATAAAAGCATTAAAGGAAAAATCAATACAGTTTATTTTGATAAATCCTAATATCGATACGGACAAACATCAAAAGGCATGGCCGATAAAGTGTATTTCTTGCCAATTACACCAGAATATGTCGAGCAGGTAAGCCAAATTATACATTTAAAGGTTAAATTTTTTAATTAATAACTTATATTTACTAACTTTTACTGTGGATATTTCATACTAAGAATATTCTTATCGGAGAAAGAAATAATTTTTTTTAATCATTTGCTTTAGGTAATACGATCGGAGAGACCGGATGGCGTACTATTAACATTCGGTGGACGAACTGCCCTTAACTGTGGCTAGAACTTGAGAGAAATGGGGTGTTTGCGTACTACAATGTTAAAATTCTAGGAAGGCCGATCGACTCTATCATAAAAACTGAAGACTGAAAAATATTTGCAGATCGTGTTAAAGAGATAAATGAAAGAGTCGCACCACGTATTTTGTTCAAGAGGTATATAAGTAAACGACAAGACATTGTTTTACAGCTTAACGTTTTTTATAATTTTGTAGAATCACAATTTTATTAAAAATAATATGTGCAGCAAGTTCTTATACATAAATTTTATATGCGTAATTTTGTCACAAGCGAAACAACAGCTTGTTTTGAGCCAAATCTTGATTATTGTGTAGTTAAAATATCTACAATAGATGGGATCTTAAAAATTTCATTGTACAAGTTTCAGCATCAAAGTAATGGATAAAAATTCTTTAATTTTGACTTTTTTAAGAAACGTTAAACGTTTGATAATTTTTGTAATATTTTATACGATGTTATATTATTATTCGTATTATCTATTATATATTTAAAAATGAAGGAAAGAAAATATGTATTTCCTTAATCTATATGTATATATTATATGATATTATAAAAGAGTCACAATAAAGTATATAAAAAGCTAATTAATTAAACAAAAAATATAAAACTTTTTTATTTTACAATATAATTATGTATATATATATATATATATATATATATATATATATATATATATATTTATTTAATTGTATATAATTGATTTTAATCGATTGTTCTTTATATCTTTAATATCAAATAATTATTTTTCAGATCGGCAGTTCTATGAAGAGTATAGGCGAAGTAATGGCGATCGGACATAAATTCAAGGAAACTTTTCAAAAGGCATTGAGAATGGTTGATGAAAATGTGAATGGCTTCGATCCTTATGTGATAGCAGTCAACGATGAAGAATTGGAAAAACCGACTGACGAAAGAATGTTTGTTCTCGCTGCTTCGATCAAGGTTGGTTACACATTCGATGGATTATACGAACTCACAAAAATTAATTGCTGGTTTCTTGAAAAGATGAAGAACATTATCGATTATTATGTGTTTTTAGAAAACATCGATCGTACAAAACTTTCGCAGGACTTGCTGCTGGGCGCAAAGCAGAACGGTTTTTCAGACAAACAAATTCCCGCTCTCGAAGATTTGAAGATGTCCGAATTAGCTGTCAGAATACAAAGACAGAAGAATAATATTCGATCAATGGTCAAACAAATTGATACAGTCGCTGCTGAATGGCCGCAGCCACTGTAAATTATATATCTTTATCTAACGTACAATGACATTATATAGTCACGATATAGAATTTCCTGGCGGATACACAATGGTGATAGGTATATTTACGTATATACATTTATATGAATATATATATATATATATATATATATATATATATATATAAAATCATAATACTATAAAATGATATATATATACATGTGTGTATATATATTATATATATCACTTCGTATAATCTAATCGAATATAATTAGGTGCACAAAACGAAGTTATATTATTGATTCTTTGATAACAAAATCTCAAAAATTGCGACGCATGCATGCAAAAATTATTATTGCAATCAATGTATAATAAAATATATTAATGAATTATGCAACGCATATAAAAATTTTATATTTGAATCTCTAACAGAACATATAAACAAAAAAATAAAATTTTCTTACAATATCTTTTTGTGATCAAATATTTACGTTTTTATTAGACACGCGCAAGACTCCACACTCCCTACATCCGTTACGTTGCGCGGTTGGCGTGAAACTGAATCTCGTGCGAAGTATCGCGTGCGCGAAGTCGAGATTACGTGACCAGATGTCACATAATAAATATATTTTTATGCATGAATTGCGATAATAATATTATACACATGCGTCGCAATTGTTAAGGTTTTATTATCAAAGAATAACTTCGCCTCGCGCACGTAATTATATTCGATTAAACTAAATAAATTTAGAAAAAAATATATAAAAAGATACATATATACAAAATAGTTCTCAAACAATACAATAAAATTCGGCGAATTAAAATTATGTATACATAATAGTAATACAGCGAATTCAAATTATGCACATAATAGAAGCTCGGCGAGTTAAAACTATGATCATATTGATAGCTTCGAGCAATCGTCATCCCGAAGATTAATAGTTTAAAAATAATAAAATAAATTATGGAAATAGTATTAATGGCGCGTGCTTGTATAGTCGTTATATAAAAGTTACAAATATATTAATTGATATATATATAGAGATTAAATTCAACCGTTTTTATGACAAATATCGTATTTCTCACTGAATTTTGAGACCACTTTTTTTATAATTTTATCCGAACCATTGCTGAATAACTGTGTCATAAAAATGTTCAATTACATGCTTTTTTTTCTTATATAACGTTGGAAATTAAAAAGATATTGAGACATTTATATAAGCAATATAACAATTTTCAATTATATATTACTTAACTATTGTTCAGCCGTTATTAACTAAACGAAAACTTTTGCCCGACGATAATCATGTCGTAAATTATCTTCGCTTATCTCAGATTAACGAAAATTAAAGAATAAGAGACTTTTGAACAACTCTAGAATGTATAAACTTATCATTTTAGTTATATATCTTCTTTTAATCGCATATGGGTAAGTGTTTGTAATATACAATTCAGAAGCAAGAATTGAAATGTTAACATTGCAGATATACAAGATAGGCTAATAATAAAGAGTGGAGAGAGAAAGGAAAACGGAGACAATTGTATTTTGAATTGATAAATACATATGTATTTTTAGTATAAATACAAATCATTTCTCAAAATACTGCTTAAATATATCATTTTTCAAATGATCGTTAAGATGATATTTTAAAATAAGAAGATTATTAATATTGAATTTGAAAGAAATTTACTTGAATGAATGTTTATAATATAAATAGTTTAAAATAATAAACATATGAATAAAATATTATTTTTTAGTTATTTAATACAAACCATAAATAACAACAACTAAAATAATTATTTAAAAATGTTAACACACACACACGTGCGCAGACACATATACTATAAACGTATCCAGTCAAACAAAATTATAAACACAAGGCAGGGAAGACACACACGAATACAGAGAGGCATATATAAAGGTAAACGTACACAACATGATACAAAAGTCTCTTAAGCAGTTTCGATGTTCTTGCATATTTTCAGAAGAATATAAATCGGATCGACAGACAGACGTGCCGAACAAAATTATACAGCGAATATTACTTGCTGGAATTCGTCACTCTTTATCATTTTGCATCCTGTTCCTTAGTGCAATTCAAGCCAGAAGAGATCAACTATATAATCAGTGAGTTCAGTTAGAATTACTTATTTAATTAATACTATTAAAAAAATAAAAAATATATAAATGTGTATAAGTTTAAATCTGTTCAATGTCTCGAATTTCTTTATAATTTTTCATTACGTACATACACATACTCGCCCATATACATATTATATACATACATACATATACATTTCCCACATGCATTTCCCTTAGAATTTAACCTAAAATGTATGGAAATCATGAGACAATGTGGTACTGGAAGAATTATATAAGAATTTCTCTGATTAATATTTACTATAATATTTTCTGATTAAAAATATTCATATCTACCACAATAAGATATTTTAATTTTTTTTACATAAATATATAATAAAACTTCAAAAATGTTTAATATATTAAGATATTCTGATTTCCTCTCTCGAAGTGTTTTCATAAGTAGAATATATGCCAGAAAAAGTGATAAGCATATAATAAATTTTATATAAATTAAGATACAGCATAATATTTTTAATTTTCTCGTTTGACGACGAGATTTAAGGACGAGAACGGGATAATTAGATATTTTACGATGAAAAGTAAAAGTACAAAATGTAAAATTATTATCATTATGAAGATCGATTATTGGCACGCATAAATCATATCTATGACCGTATAATGAATTTATCATAATTTTTAACATGCAGTATAGTAATTAATATTCGGCTTATTATCAAACATGATAAAATTTTTAGTGACTTTTGCAGACAAATATAACGAAAAATTCTCTTTACATATGTGCATGTGTCTGTCCATATAGCGTATATGTATATAAACGTTGTTATAAACATATATTTTTGTCACCTCCAAAATGTTATTATTGTAAACAAATGATGAAAAATAATAAGAAAAGTCGAGATATTAAGTAGATTTGAACTGTACATGCGTCATTTTCGATAGAAACGAACATTTATTCGCGAACTTTTTCTTTTTCTTTAGTAAGAATTACGTCTCGCGTGACTGGAAACACATCTCCTCGTGGAACACAATCGGTGATAGTACAAGGAACATCATATCAACGATGCCACAAAGAAACGAGCATTGGATAATGAGATTTTTTGGAATGAAAAGTAACATTGCAGAATGTAGATTATGTGACTATAAGATATCACTATTCGAATCCGTAGAAAATATGCGCATTCATTTATTTTATGTGCATAACCCTGCCTGGAAAGAATCTATGGACCAATTAACTATCCCCTGGCCTCATTTGATTTGGTATTACTTTTACATAAGCGATGATGGCAACGCAAAATGTTGTAAAGAAAACTGTCAAATAACGTATAATTCCAGTTTAAATAAGATAGAAGAAATGAAACTACATTTTGTAGATGCTCATGTACCTCGACTTTCTGGCACAATTTATGATTGGACAGTACCATACTATAGAATAATTGAACAAAGTGAGCGACACCATCAATCATTAAAGAGAAAATGCGAAATACCTAATTGTAATTTTGTATATAACAGACACATGGGCAGGACTGTATTATTATTTGGGCATTTGGTTCTTGACCATAATTTAATACCTGACCGATCAATAAGATTGTTCAAAGATTTTTCTGGAAATTTTTGTTTGCGATAATGATTTACGGTGATGAGGTAAATAGCAATAATTTTTATTATTGAGATAAGATATTATTTTTTATATATCTTCTTAATTATTTGCATGCATTTTTATGAACAATAAACAAATTATATTCAAATGTTGACACTTTCGTTATAACTACTATAAATATTTAAATCAGCTATTTGCTTTCATTTATATCTTAAAAGCACTATAAATGTAAAATTAAATATTATTTTTTCTTTTTATTTATTCTCAATTACTTGCAGTGTTTACTGTTATTTAACAAACAATAAATAAAATTATACAGATGATCATCTAGATGATATTTTGGCTTCACTCTTATCTTTACATAAACAATATGTATTATCTATCCACCTTTGATAAGAAAAAGTGTCATTTTCACTAAATTATTTAGTTTTAGAACATGGTTTAAATAATTTGGCTTTGAGTTGTAGCACATAAAAATACTTAATTAGAAGAACTTAATCAATAAGCAATAAAAATTATAACTGTGAATATATTTCTAATAAACATAGTTGTACATATATTTGATATTAAAGAGCCTTGAGTTAATTTTACTGTTTATAAACATAAGTTTGAATACCCTTTAATAATTTACATTGTTCTATAACTGTGTTTACATAAGCGGTTTTAAAATTTTAGCCGTAAGTTATCTAGATGAATCGCCATGTAATTTTATCCTTTATTCGAGTTATATTTAAATCAAAAACATTTTTTTATCTGATCTAAGATAAACTTATATATTATCATTTCATCTTTATCTACTTAATTTTAAAGTTTTCTAAGCACAACAATGATTACTGCAAACACTTTTATTTATGTAATAAAAGTGCTTGCAGTAAGCGCATGAAATTCAAATGTTAGCCCTTTTATCATATAAAAATATATAAAATTATCTACGTCTAGCGCATACATTTATGTTTGAAAGCATTAGAAGTTAATAAATATCAACTTTGTTTCGTTAATTTTAAATATGTCATCAACATTCGATTTACACAATTAGCAAATATCATCATCAATTTGAAAATATATATTATTACATATATAAATATTAGGGTCTCTTTTGGATGCGGAAAATATTTAGAATTTGTCTAATATAAAACAACGCACATAATTTAAGAGAAAAATCTAATATAAATTATTTTGAATTTTTATTGATTTAATTTTTCATATAAATTTCAGAAGATTAATGAAAAGTTCAACAACATGGACGCAGGTTTCGAAAGAAATGAGGCTAACGTATTATCATGGACATGGACAATAAAATAAAATAAGAAATTTATATTTTTGACTTTATCGCTTTATCTATATATTATATGGCGTAAATAATCTTATTTTATTTTTATTATATCTAATTATATTAAAAAAACGGCGAAACTTATATTTTTTATTCATTTCGTAATTAAGCATTTTACATCAAGATCTTTATCTAGATACTTGTATTTATTAAATGTATTTTATAAAACATAATTAATTATATAATATATATATATATATATATATATAATATATAAATTATATATTATCTATATACATATATATTCATCATTCTTTATATATATTATATGTTATATAACTTATAAAGTATAATTATATATTAATTTATATGTATATAAATATAATATCTATAGAGTAATATAATGTTATAAATGTATAAAATTATCTGCAAATGCATATAATTATGTAACTGCAGAACTGCACTGAAAAAAAAGTGTTAGCTTAACTAAATCTTTTAACTAAATACTATTATTTTAATTGAATATATATATTAGTATTGAACTCAAATATATATATGTTTTGTCAGATGTGATATGTTATATTTAATTAAAAAATTTTTATATGTTGAATTAACAAATTATTTAGATGAAAGAATCAGTCAAGTTTACAATTTTCTTTCGCAGTGTGTCTCAAATTATCTGTAAATGCATATATTTTGTTAAATATTTTAAAATTAAGAATCGGCATACATTTAAAAATGTACTTTATCTAGATATCTATCATTTTTTAAAAATATATTACATAACATGTAATTTTAACATATGTAATTTATATAGTGATTTCTATAACATGTATAATATTTTATATAAATATTTATGTATAATATTTATATAATATTTTATATAATTTATAATTATCTATTTATAGAAATAATATTAACGAAATATACTAAAAATCCTTGTATACATAATATAAGTTTCTTCTAAATAAAAATATTAATTTTTGAACAAAAGTATATATTCTTATAAGTTGCTATACGTATAAAAATGTAAGATGAAAATAGAAAGTTGATATATCATAATTACATACATACATTCTATATTGTGCTTCCAGTGAGAATTACAAGGCACTTTTATAAGGAGTGGTCCCGAACCTTTTACAAACAAAATACATATTAATATCCTAGTCATAATTTACTAAATTTCTCTACAACCCTTGTTCTTCATTTCAATCCTTTCCTTGCCTTCTCCCTTCCTCTCTCCTCTATCCATTTGGCTCCTACTTTTGTTCTTCTTTATCTTCTTTTTCCTATTTGTCCTAAACTTCCCTTCCCCCTCTTCTAATATGCTATTCTCTCTAAATCCCTTTTCTCCCTCTGTTTCCCTTTCTCTTCACACTCCATTCCCTCTCTATCTTCTATCCTTCCTACTTTTTCTCTACTAATTCCAGCTTCCCTACCTAATACCCTCTTTATCCCAACATCATGGACCATCCTCCTTATTTTCTTCCACAATTTCTTTCCACACCACGTTGTTTCTTCTCCTTTCTCTTCTCTCTTCCTCCTCTCTTCTATTTTTTCCGCTCTTTCTTTCTTCTTTCTTTTTTCTTTATCCCTTTTTTTCTTTCTTCTCTCTTCTCTACTCTCCCCCAAATCTCTTCACAAATATCAATCATCTTTAAATAATAATTTAATGGTTAAATATCTAATTTAAATAAACCTTTAAATTGAATTTCGTTTACATCTATTGTAATATTTAAAATTCACAAACATTCTCTCAGTCACATACATAAATGGCATAATATATGACAATATCTTCATATTGTAGGAAATCAATTATTATTTTTAAAATAATCATAGAGATAAAAATAAATATAAATGTTTTATTTACAGACAGCTTCAATATTTGCTTAAAACACATTTAATCCTTTCTTTTTATTTATAATAAAATTCATTTTGATACACGTATTTACTTAATTTCACTAATCTGGTTTGAAGATATACGTATATCTTCGACATATTATAAAAGTCGGAGAAAGATTTCTGATTTAGATCGGCTATTAGTATTTTTCTATTCAATTTATCTCTATATATCGCATCTATTATTTAACAAAGTGATAAGGTATGAGTCTTAATATTTTTTCTCTGAAAAGCGAGCATTTTATTAAACATGACAAAATATTTGAAGCAAACGCATTTGTCAAGGCAATATTTTTCACGAAAACTCGCTTATTCAAACACATGAAATTTTCGACTTTAATATAATATTATACAGAGTAAATCACCTAACAACGCATCTTTATCTCCTTTCTTCGTTCTCCAATTTTATGTTAATTGTTCTCGGTCTTGTTAAAAAATATAGGATGAAAGATCACATATTAATGATTAAGTAAAGTTATATTTAATTAAATATAATATGTATGGTATATAGTGATAATATATATTGAATTGTTTTAATTTATTTTAGTTTTTTTAGGATTAATATGAATTTAAAGAAACTATATTTAAAATTATGTCTATAGCTCGGATTTCTACTCGAATTCTCGGGCCCCGTGCGAAGCTTTGCGAAATACCTAATATTTCTCGAGGAAACCCGATCGTTAATTCGGAAACGATCGACAGGCGTCGAATCTCGAGACATCAGGTTTTGGGATAATGTTATGATATGTGAAACGAACTCACAGTCACGATTGAGACGCGAAAGTGTACAAGAAATGTAAACACCGTCTTGTGCGCGATGACGAACGTTTCAAATTCTTCTTGCCTATGTTACAAAAATTTAATAGTGTAAAAATGTGTAAAATATATAAAATACTTATTTACAATAAAAAAATGAATAATATATTAAGAAAAAAATGAATACAATATATTTTTAATTTTATAAATATATATATATATATATGCATATATTATTAATAACATAGATAATTAAACATTTAATGAAGTAATTACATTCGAACGACCTAAGAAAGTGCTAATCTTGGGCTCCGGAGGATTCAGCGTTGGCCAAGCCAGAGAATTCGATTATTCGGGCTCTCATAGGCAATAAAAGTATTAAAGGAAAAATCGATACAGTTTATTTTGATAAATCCTAATATCGATACGGTACAAACATCAAAAGGCATGACCGATAAAGTGTATTTCTTGCCAATTACACCAGAATATGTCGAGCAGGTAAGCCAAATTATACATTTAAAGGTTAAACTTTTTAATTAATAACTTATACTTACTAACTTTTACTGTGGATATTTCATACTAAGAATCTTCTTATCGGAGAAAGAAATAATTTTTTTTTAATTATTTGCTTTAGGTAATACGATCGGAGAGACCGGATGGCGTACTATTAACATTCAGTGGACAAACTGCCCTTAACTGTGGCTAGAACTTGAGAGAAATGGGATGTTTGCGTACTACAATGTTAAAATTCTAGGAAGACCGATCGAATCTATCATAAAAACTGAAGACAGAAAAATAATTGCAGATGGTGTTAGCGAGATAAATGAAAGAGTCGCACCACGTATTCCGTTCAAGAGGTATATAAGTAAACGACAAGACATCTTTTTACAGCTTAATGTTTTTTATAATTTTATAAAATTACAATTTTATTAAAAATAATATGTGCAACAAATTCTTATACATTAATTTTATATGCGTAATTCTGTCACTGACAAAACAACAGCTCGTTTTGAGCCAAGTCTTAATTATTGTGTAGTTAAAATATCTAGATGGGATCTTAAAAAATTTCATCGTACAAATTTCAGCATCAAAGTATTGGATAAAATTTTTAATTTTGAATTTTTTAAAAAACGTTAAACGTTTGATAATTTTTGTAATACTTTATACGATGTTATATTATTATTCGTATTATCTATTATATATTTGAAAATGAAAGAAAGAAAATATGTATTTCTTTAATCCATATGTATATATTATATGATATGTTAAAAGAGTCACAATAAAGTATATAAAGAGCTAATTTATTAAAGAAAAAATATAAAACTTTTTTATTTTACAATATATATATATATATATATATATATATATATATATATTTATTTGTATATAATTTATTTTAATCGATTGTTCTTTATATTTTTAATATTAAATACTTATTTTTCAGATCGGCAGTTCTATGAAGAGTATAGACGAAGTAATGGCGATCGGACGTAAATTCGCGAAAACTTTTCAAAAGGCATTAAGAAAGGTTGATGAAAATGTGAATGGCTTCGATCTTTATGTGATAGCAATCAACGATGAAGAATTGGAAAAACCGACTGACGAAAGAATGTTTGTTCTCGCTGCTTCGATCAAGACTGGTTACACAATCGATCGATTATACGAACTCACAAAAATTAATTGCTGGTTTCTTGAAAAGATGAAGAACATTATCAATTATTATGTGTTTTTAGAAAACATCGATTGTACAAAACTTTCGCAGGACGTGCTGCTGGGCGCAAAGCAGAACGATTTTTCGGACAAACAAATTCCCGCTCTCGAAGATCTGTAGATGTCCGAATTAGCTGTCAGAATAAAAAGACAGGAGAATAATATTCGACCAATGGTCAAACAAATTGATACAGTTGCTGCTGAATGGCCAGCCACTGTAAATTATATATCTAACGTACAATGACATTATATAGTCACGATATAGAAATTCCTGGCGGATACACAATGGGGATAGGTATATTTACGTATATACATATATATAGGGTTTGTCCCAAAAGTAATGAGTCTCATTTTTTTGCCACGCGACTGTACAGCGCACACTTGCGCGACCGATTGGAAGTGGTGATGTGGACTCTAAACTTGCCAACGACGCCTGGTTCAGTTGCGTACAAGCTCTCGGAGTGGTGCGACGTCATTTTTAGTGAACCTCCGCGCAGATCCTCGTCGTGGTTAGGATGGAGAGAACTTTGGAGCAACGCTATGCGATAAAACGACTTGTGCCACTTTTTGACCTGCGAGTACGACAAGCAATCATTCTTGAAGGCCTGAGTTAGCAAATCAAACGTTTCCTTCGCCGTCTTTTGAAGTTTGACGCTAAATTTTATCGCATAGCGTTGCTCCAAAGTTCTCTCCATCCTACCTGTAACCACGACAAGGTTCTCCGCGGAGGTTCACTAAAAATGACGTCCCACCGCTCCGAGAGCTTGTACGCATCTGAACCAGGCGTCGTTGGCAAGTTTAGAGTCTCCATCACCACATCCAACCGGTCGCCCAAGTGTGCGCTGTACAATCGCGTGGCAAAAAAATGAGGCTCATTACTTTTGGGACAAATCCTGTATATATATATATATATATATATATATATATATATAAAATCATAATAATATAAAATGATATATATATGTATATATATATGTGTATATATCACTTTGTATAATTTAATCGAATATAATAGGCACAAAACAAAGTTATATTATTGATTTTTTGATAACAAAATCTCAAAAATTGCGACGCATGCATGCAAAAATTATTATTGCAATCAATGCAGAAAAATATATTAATAAATTATGCAACGCATATATAAATTTTATATTTGAATTTTTAACAGAAAATACGAACAAAGAAATAAAATTTTCTACAAGATATTTTGTGATCAAATATCTATGCTTTTATTAAACTCGCGCAAGACTCCATACTTTATACATCCGTCACGCTGCGCGGTTTGCGCAAAACTGATTCTTGTGCAAAGTAACGCGAGTGCAAAGCCGAGATTACGTGACCAGTGGTCACATAATAAATTCTTTTTATGCATGAATTGCAATAATAATATTTTACACATGCGTTGCAATTATTAAGGTTTTATTATCAAAGAATAACTTTGCCTCGCGCACGCAATTATATTCGATTAAACTTAATGAAAAAATATTTTATTATAGTGTTTTGGAAAGCTTTCGAGATAAGCTATAAGAATATGCAATATAATATAGAAGGTTCCAAAAATTAAATTGACCTTAAAATGATCTTGAAGGCCATGGTCAAGGTAAAAGTCAAGATCATCATCTTACTCCCCGCTTGAAACCATACAACTTTGCTATTGGACATTTTCTCCAAAATGCATTCGAACTTAAAATATTAAGAGGGTCCGATACTTTTTGATGACCTGGTATATAAATATATAGATTAAATTCAAATCATCCATTTGTATGTGAAATATCGTATTTCTCACTTAATTTTGAGACAATTTTTTTATAATTTTATCCGAACCATTGTTGAATAACTGTGACATAAATGTTTCATTACATGCTTTGTATTTTTCTAATATAACGTAAACAATTAAAAAATGTATTAAAATTTTTATGTAAGCAGTATAAAATTTTTCAACAATTATGAAATATACAAAGCTTAAAATAGCTCGTGATTGTAACAACTAAAAAAATTATACGTAACGATATGGGCCAACGTAACGAGCAAGAAATTACAATATACAATTTAGAGTATGCTTAGATATTTATTAACACATAAAAATAAAATTAATAAAATAAATTAAATAAATTAAAATTATAATACAAAGCATTAAAATTCAGGAAGAAATATAAACTAAAAAATTATAAAATTTAGATAGAATTATAAACTAAAAAACTAGCTTCTTGATGAGTCATACTTTGATATTCTAGAAGAAATAGCTAACAGACAAACAAATATATAAACATGCATTTTTGTCATCGCTCTTTTATTGTATTGTTTTCCTAACTATCGATCGGATCTTTGAGATTGCTTTGACAACGTTTTGATATTTTCTTCAAGATAGTAAGCAATTTTAAATTTAAGATTAATTTAGCAATCAAAGACACTTGATTGATATAATTTTCTTTTTTTTCTTTTGACATAATTAGATTAATCTTGACCAACTAATTCGCCGGTTGACAACGACGGAATCTAGAACTATTAATTATTTTAAGATCTTGACGGAATTATTACATCTTTACTTTGAATGATGGACATGTTAGTTGTGCTTGTCATTGCAATTGAGGATCTGCGTTTATCATTATGTGTGACTGATTTATTTTGTTTCAATACTTTCTATGTGAGCGCCGCGATTTCGTTAACTTAATACAAGCGCCTGTCAACACTACTGAAAAAGTTATCTTAAGAAATTCTCATTTTTGATTTATTATGTTGAGATAATTAAGTACATTATAAATTTTAAACTTTTTTGATGAAGGCTGAGGTTCCAGTCAAAACGTTATTTTTTTAGTTTTTTAGTTTATAGTTCTATCTGAATTTTATAATTTTTTAGTTTATATTTCTTTCTGAATTTTAATGCTTTGTATTATAATTTTAATTTATTTAATTTATTTTATTAATTTTATTTTTATGTGTTAATAAGTATCTAAGCATGCTCCTAATTGTATATTGTAATTTCTTGCTCGTTACGTTGGCCTATATCGTTACGTATAATTTTATTAGTTATAACATTTTTCAATCATTTATTACCTAGCTATTGTTCAGCCGTTATTAACTAAACGAAAACAATTGTCCAACGATAATTATGTCGTAAATTATCTTCTCTATCTCAGATTAACAAAAATTAAAGAATAAGAGACTCTTGAACAACTCTAGAATTTATAGATTTATCATTTTATTTGTATATCTATTTTTAATCGCATATAAGTAAGTGTTTGTAACATACAAATCAGAAGCAAGAATTGAAATGTTAACATTGCAGATATACAAGATAGGCTAATAATAAAGAGTGGAGAGAGAGAGGAAAACAAAGGCAATTGTATTTTGAATACAATAAATACATATGTATTTTTAGTATAAATACAAATCATTTCTCAAAATACTGCTTAAATATATCATTTTTCAAATTATTGTTAAGATAATACTTTAACATAAGAAAATTATTAATTTAGAATTTGAAAGAAATTTACTTGAATGAATGTTTATAATAAAATAATTTAAAATAATAAACATATAAATAAAATATTATTTTTTAGTTATTTAATACAAACCGTAAAAAAAAACAACTAAAATAATTATTTAAAAATGTTAACGCACACACACGTGCGCAGACACACATACTATAAACGTATCCAGTCAAACAAAATTATAAACACAAGGCAGGGAAGACACACACGAATACAGAGAGGCATATATAAAGGTAAACGTACACAACATGATACAAAAAGTCTCTTAAGCAGTTTCGATGTTCTCGCATATTTTCAGTAAAATATATATCGGATCGACAGACAGACGTGCCAAACAGAGCTTTATAGCGAATATTACTTGAAATTCGTCACTCTTTATCGTTTTGCATCCTGTTCCTTAGTGTAATTCAAGCCAGGAGAAACGAACAATATAAATAGTGAGTTCAGTTAGAATTACTTATTTAATTAATACTATTAAAAATAAAAAATATATATATGAGTATAGTTTAAATCTGTTCTATGTCTCGAATTTCTTTATAATTTTTCATTACGTACGTACACATACGCCTATATACATATTATATACATACATACATACATATACATTTCCCACATACATTTTCTTTGGAATTTAACCTAAAATGTATGGTAATCGTGGGACAATGTGATACTGGATAAATTATATAAAAATTTCTCTGATTAATATTTACTATAATATTTTCTGATTAAAAATATTCATATCTACCACAATAAGATATTTTAATTCTTTTTACATAAATATATAATAAAACTTCAAAAATGTTTAATATATTAAAATATTCAGATTTCCTCTCTCGAAGTGTTTTCATAAGTAGAATATATGCCAGAAAAAGTGATAAACATATATTTTATATAAATTAAGATACAGCATAATATTTTCAATTTTCTCGTGACGACGAGATTTGAGGACGAGAACGGGCTAATTAGATATTTTACAATGAAAAGTAAAAGTGCAAAATGTAATTATTATCATTATGAAGATCGATTATTGGCGCGCATAAATTATATCTATGACCATATAACGAATTTATCATAATTTTTAACATGCAGTATAGTAATTAATATTCGGCTTATTATCAAACATGATAAAATTTTTAGTGAATTTTGCGGGCAAATATAACGAAAAATTCTCTTTACATAAGTGTGTCTGTCCATATAGCGTATATGTATATAAACGTTGTTATAAACATATATTTTTGTCACCTCCAAAATGTTATTATTGTAAACAAATGACGAAAAATAATAAGGAAATTCGAGATATTAAGTAGATTTGAACTGTACATGTGTCATTTTCGATAGAAACGAACATTTATTCGCGAACTTTTTCTTTTTCTTTAGTAAGAATTACGTCTCGCGTGACTGGAAACACATCTCGTGGAACACAATCGGTGATAGTACAAGGAACATCATATCAACGATGCCACAAAGAAACGAGCATTGGATAATGAGATTTTTTGGAATGAAAAGTAATATTGCAGAATGTAGATTATGTAACTATAAGACATCACTATTTGAATCCGTAGAAGATATGCGCCTTCATTTAACTCATATACATAACCATGGCTGGAAAGAATCTATGGACCAATTAACTATCCCCTGGCCTCATTTGATTTGGTGTTACTTCTACATAAGCAATGATGGCAACGCAAAATGTTGTAAAGAAAATTGTCAAGAAACGTATAATTCCAGTTTAAATAAGATAAGAGATATGAAACTACATTTTGTAGATGCCCATATATCTCGACTTTCTGGCTGCATTTATGAATGGACAGTACCACACTATAAAATAATTGAACGTGAGCGCAACCATCGCTACTTAGTGAGAAAATGCGAAATACCTAATTGTAATTTTGTATATCGCAAAAACATGGGCACGTTTGTATTATTATTTGGGCATTTAATTTTTGACCATAATTTAATACCTGACCGATCAATAAGATTGTTCAAAGATTTTTCTGGAAATTTTTGTTTGCGATAATGATTTACGGTGATGAGGTAAATAGTAATAATTTTTATAATTGAGATAAGATATTATTTTTTATATATCTTCTCAATTATTTGCATGCATTTTTATGAACAATAAACAAATTATATTCAAATGTTGACACTTTTGTTATAACTACTACAAATATTTAAATCAGCTATTTGCATTCAATTATATCTTAAGAGCACTATAAATGTTAAATTAAATATTATTTTTTTCTTATATTTTTTCTCAATTACTTGCAGTGTTTACTGTTATTTAACAAACAATAAATAAAATTATACAGATGATCATCTAGATGATATTTTGGTTTCATTCTTATCTTTACATAAACAGTAACATAAACAGAACTTAATCAATAAGCAATAAAAATTATAACTGTGAATATATTTCTAATAAACATAGTTGTACATATATTTGATATTAAAGAGCCTTGAGTAAATCTTACTGTTTAATAAACATAAGTATGTACTCTTTAATAATTTACATTGTTCTATAACTGTGTTTACATAACCGGTTTTAAAATATTAGCCGTAAGTTATTTAGATGAATCGGCATGTAATATTATCCTGTATTTAAGTAATATTTAAATCAAAAACATTTCTTTATCTCATCTAAGATACATTTATATATTTTCATTTCATCTTTATCTATCTAATTTAAAAATTTTCTAAACACAACAATGATTACTGCAAGCAATTTTATTTATATAATAAAAGTGCTTGCAGTAAACGCATGAAATTCAAATGTTAGCCCTTTTATCATATGAATATATAAAATTATCTACGTATAGCGCATACATTTGTATTTTGACAGCATTAGAAGTTAATAAATATCAACTTTGTTTTGTTAATTTTAAATATGTCATCAACATTTGATTTACACAATTAGCAAATATCATCATTAGTTTGAAAATATATATTATTATATATATAAATATTAGGGTTTCTTTGGATCCGAAAAATATTTAGAATTTGTCCAATATAAAACAACGCACATAATTTAAGAGAAAAATTTTTTAATATGAATTATTCTGAATTTTTATTGATTTAATTTTTCATCTAAATTTCAGAAGATTAATGAAAATTTTAACAACATGGACGCAGGTTTCGAAAGAAATGAGGTTAACGTATTATCATGGACATGGACAATAAAATAAAATAAGAAATTTATATTTTTGACTTTATCGCTCTATCTTTATATTATATGGCGCAAATGATCTTATTTTATTTTTATTATATCTAATTATATTAAATGAACGGCGAAACTTATATTTTTTACTTATTTCGTAATTAAGCATCTTACATCGAGATCTTTATCTAGATACTTGTATTTATTAAATGTATTTTATAAAACACACATATTTAGATTGTATAATATATAATTATATATAATATATAAATTATATATAATTTATAATTATATATTCATCATTCTTTATATATATTATATGTTTTATAACTTATAAAATATAAGTATATATTTATTTAATATATATAATATATAAATTATATATAATTTATAATTATATATTCATCATTCTTTATATATATTATATGTTTTATAACTTATAAAATATAAGTATATATTTATTTATATGTATATAAATATAATATATATAAAGTAATATAATGTTAGAAATGTATAAAATTATTTGTAAATGCATATAATTATGTAACTGCAGAACTGCACTAAAAAAAATTTGTTAGCTTAACTAAATCTTTTAACTAGATTACTATTATTTTAATTGAACATATATATTAGTATTTAAGTCAAATATATATATGTTTTGTCAGATTTAATATGTTATATTTAATTTAAAAATTTTTATATGTTGAATTAACAAATTATTTAGATAAAAGATTCTGTCAAGTTTACAATTTTCTTTCGCAGTGTGTCTCAAATTATCTGTATAAACGCATATATTTTGTTAAATATTTATAATTAAAATTGGCATACATTTAAAAATGTACTTTATCTAGATATCTATCGGATCATTTTTTAAAAATATATTTCATAACATTTATAATTTAACATATGTAATTTATATAGTGATTTCTATAACATGTATAATATTTTATATAAATATTATGTATATTATGTATATAATATTTTATATAATTAATAATTATCTATTTATAGAAATAATATTAACGAAATGTAATAGTAACGAAATCCTTGTACACATAATATAAGTTTCTTCCAAATAAAATATTAATTTTTGAACAAAAGTATATATTCTTATAAGGTGCTATATCTATAAAAATGTAAGATGAAAATAGAAAGTTGATATATCATAATTACATACATACATTCTTTATTGTGCTCTCAGTGAGAATTACAAGGCACTTTTATAAGGAGTGGTTTCGAACCTTTTTTTTTACGAACAAAATTCATATTAATATCTTAGTCATAATTTACTAAATTTCTCTACAACCCTTGTTCTTCATTTCAATCCTTTCCTTGCCTTCTCCTTCCTCTCTCCTCTCTCCTCTTCCATTTGGCTCTTACTTTTGTCCTTCTTTATCTTCTACTTCCTATTTGTCCTAAACTTCCCTTCTCCCTCTCCTAATATGCTATTCTCTCTAAATCCCCCTTCTCCCTTTGTTTCCCTTTATCTTCACACTCCATTCCCTCTCTATCTTCTATCCTTTCTACTTATCCCCTACTAATTCCAGCTTCCCTACCTAATACCCTTTTTATCTCAACATCATGGACCATCCTCCTTATTTTCTTCCACAATTCCTTTTCACACCACGTTGTTCCTTCTCCTTTCTCTTCTCTCTTCCTCCTCTCTTCTATTTCTTTCCGTTCTCTATTTCTTCTTTCTTTTCTCTTTCCTTTTTTTTCTTTCTTCTCTCTTCTCTATTCTCCCTCAAATTTCTTCACAAATATCAATTATCTTTAAACAATAATTCAATGGTTAAATATCTAATTTAAATAAACCTTTAAATCGAATTTTGTTTACATCTATTGTAATATTTGAAATTCACAAACATTCTCTCAGTCACATAAATGGCATAATATATGACAATATATTAATATTATAGGAAATAAATTATTATTTTTAAAATAATCATAGAAATAAAAACAAATATGAGTTTTATTTACAGACTGTTTCAATATTTGCTTAAAACACATTTAATCTATTTTATTATATATAATGAAATTCATTTTGGTAGTCGTACTTATTTAATTTCACTAATCTAGTTGAATATATCCGTGTGGTATAGCTTCGACATATTATAAACGTTGGAAAAAAGGTTTCTGATTTACATCGGCTATTAGTATTTTTCTATTCAATTTATCTTTATATATTGCATCTATTATTTAACAAATTGATAAGGTATGAGTCTTAATATTTTCTCCTTGGAAAGCGAAAATTTTATTAAACATGACAAAATATTTGAGGTAAACGCATTTGCCGAGGCAATATTTTTCACGAAAACTCGCTCATTCAAACACATGAAATTTTCGACTGTAATAAAATATTATACAGAGTAAGCCACCTAACAACGCATCTCCATCTCCTTTCTTCGTTCTTCATTATTATGTTAATTGTTATCTGTTTTGTTAGAAAAATATAGAAGACCACATTAATGATTAAGTAAAGTCATATTTAATTAAATATAATATGTATGATATATAGTGATAATATATGTTAAATTGTTTGAAATCATTTTTAGTTTTTTTTAGATTAATATGAATTTAAAGAAACATATTTAAAATCGAGTCTAGAGCTCGGATTTCCACTCGATTTTTCGGGTCGCGTGCGAAGTTTCGCGAAATACCAAATATTTCTCGAGGAGACCCGATTGTTAATTCGGAAACGATCGATAGGCGTCGGATCTCGGGACATCGTGATTTAGGGATAATGCTATTAAATATGTTTCCAAACAAACTCACAGTCAAGATTCAGCCACGAAAAATGTACAAGAAATGTAAGCAGTGTCTTGTGCGCAATAACGCGAATGTTTCAAATTCTTATTGCCTACGTTACAAAGATTTAATAGTGTAAAAATGTGTAAAAATATATAAAATATTTATTTATAAGAAATATATGAATAATATATTAAGAAAGAAATGAATACAATATATTTTTAATTTATTTAAAAAAAAAATATATATATATATATATTATTAATAATATATATAATTAAACATTTAATGATAAATAAATATTTATATAAAATTAATTAATGAAAGGCTCGTATAAATTAAACAAAATTAAACAATCATATATAGTAGGCCAACTAAACGAGCAAATAAATAAGATGTAAAAAATTTTTTTATTAATAGTTAAATCATTAAATTAACATTCCGTTACAGAATCGATATAAATTGTAAACGTTTCGACTGCACTACAGTCTTTATCAATACATAAAAATTAAATATTAAAATATAAAGTTAGATGTTAAAAATACAAAGTTAGTTAAATATTAAAATATAAAATTGAAACGATTCTTCGCTGTTGACCAATAGATATGCAAGGCGATTGGTCTGAGATGCCAAGTTATGCGACATTTGAGCATGCTACGGATATAATACGCGAATTAAATCAATGTCAGAGAAAATTAAAAAATCTTTCAACTTACATTATCGTTTTAACAAGTCCTTTTCCCCGATATTTCAAGTGTGTGTTGCGAAGTCTGAATACCAAATGTCAAAATAGAGAGCGTGATGTATTTATTTATTACCAATGTTTTTTCTAAATTATGATTCAGCAAATTTTTTAAGTATGTCAAAATAACTACTGTCTAACAATTCGGTGTCTGTATTTAAATTAATTCCATTTTTCTGTTCTTTAATGTGGATCATTTCAGATATTAGTCTTTTATGGTAATTCTTTTCATGATCCATAATTTTAATATTGTCCCAGTCAAATGTATGTTGTTCGTTTAGAATGTGTTCCGTGATAACCGAATGTCTAGCAGAGTCTAATTTAATATTATTTTTATGTTCTTTAAGTCTCGTTCCTAACTGTCTTTTTGTCTGTCCGACATATGTGGCGTCACAATCGTTGCAATTCAATTTGTAAATAACGTTAGAATTCGTGGGGCAATTATTTTTGTCCTTTTGAACTTTTATGAAGTCATTCAATTTTTTAATGCAACGATATCCTACCACTACGTCAGGTCTTCTTATTGCTGAAGCAACTTTCTCAGATATTGATTCTATATATGGTATGACAAAATATTTAATGTTAGTATTAGTATTATTAGTATCTGTTATATTGTTATTATTAGGCTTGTTAAATTTCTTAGTTGAGAGATTTTTTAATCTGCGTTTTATTTCTGTGAAAATTAGATCAAGAGGATAACCGTTGGATAGCAAAATGTTAATAGCTTTCTCTATATTTTTTTTGTGAAATTGCGGATGTGATAGTAATAAAGCTCTATCTACCAAGTTATAAATTGTTCCTATTTTATGACAAGTCGGATGATTTGAAAAAAATGAAAGTAATCTACCTGAGAATGTCTTTTTGTGATACCAATCTAAATAAATTTTGTTATCTATTACTTTGATCATTATGTCTAAAAAGCTTATACAACGATTATCCTCCTTTTCCAATGTAAATTGTAGTCTATCGTTATAATTGTTGAATTCGTTCAAAACATATGTAATATTGTCAGCGGAAGTGCATAAAATAATGTCGTCTACATAACGGAAATAGAAAGTCATTTCGCAATTTAAATTACTAATTACTAATGTTTCCAAGTCCTGCATGACTATATCGGCAATGATCGGAGAAAGTGGGGAACCCATAGGAGTCCCATAAATTTGTTTGTAAGTTATGTTATTAAAAGTGAAAAATGTAGAAGTTAATATAAATTTTATCATACCTATGAATTCATTTTTGGGAATCTTTGTGTGTGACTCTATAAAATGCCATCTATTATTGATACCGTTTAATGCAAGATCTACGGAAACATTAGTAAATAATGAAACAACGTCCAATGAAGCTATTATGTCGGTATCTTGTATTGTTTTCCCTGATAGAATGTTGCATATATCAAAACTGTTATTTACAAATGTCTTAACATAGAGATATTTGATTTATATAGAACTTTAAACTCACTTAATAAAAAACGGTCAAGGCAATTCCAAATTCTCCAAAATCTTTTACCATCTTATATCTGGCAGGAGATTTTAAATCACCATTGCAACTCCTTTTCTTTGTTCAACCAAAAATTATA